ATAGTCGTAGACTATTTAATTGTGCGTGCGTGCGTGTGTGCGTGTGTGCGTGCGCGTGCGTATGTGTGTAATACCAACAGCGAATAATACCTGTATTATCAGGAGTTAATAATGTCAAATGTCAATAATGACAATGACTAATAATGACAAATGATAATGACAATTTGTCGTTATTAACTCTTGGTATTATTGACCTCTTAGTAATATGCGCGTACACTCACCCACATCGCCTGCTGGCTGCGTGCGTCACGTGATCACAACATCAGAGTTCAACCACCAGGGTAATGAACTATCGTATATACACACACACATACCCACATACATGCGTGCGTACGCCTCGACCTCTCAGCTCATTCGACCTCATATATCGGTATCAGTCCACATGCACCCGAGCTTATAGTTATAGTATACGGTCGATGGAAGATCTAGAATAGATATGCACTTTTATCTTGAACTCGCTGGCGATGTCATCGTCTTCTTGTTCTGCAGTAGAAAAAATAACGCGTTGTGAAATGTGTGTGATGTAAAGGGAAGGGGATGGGGGGGGGTAGAAACGCGTGGGTTGTCTGTATTCTATATAATAAAAGCTAATCTAGAAATCTTCTATAAATAGCAACTATATAAAGCGCTTAGGAGATAGTAGCGACGGTGGTAGTGATGGCTATTGTCTAACTAAGGATTTAGCTTCTAATAATAGAAACATGCAAATGTTAGACGGATAGGAACGGATAGGATCGAAATCTTGATTAATTGATATGATTTTAGCATCTCCCTTCTCCATCTTCGCGTCGTAGTACAATGATGGATCGCAGTGGTTCTGGTGTGAAATAGCATGTTTCTGCTCAGCTCTTTGTTCGAATCGGATCGGAAATGCTGTCGTCCGTGAGAAATTAATTATGGATTATGTATGAATCGGCTGCAGCTGCAGCCTCGTGCCTGGACGTGTGCAAACGTACGCAGTAACTCTGATGAGGAGAGAGGGGAGGGTAGAGATGGAGAGGAAGGGAGGAAGGTGGAGATGGAGAGAGAGGTAGGGGAGAAGGGGGTAAAATGGAGAGAAAAGGGGCATACGTGTGGCAGAAGGGTGTTAGATGGAAATAGAGAGAGTTGGGAGAATGTACGAGAGGGGAGCAAGAGAGCTAGAGAGAAAGATAGATAGATAGATAGAGAGAGGAGGGCAGAGAGCAGAGGCAGAGGAGAGAGCGAGGAGACGAAGAGAGAGTAGAGAAGAGAGAGAGGCAGAGGAAGAGAGATGAGAGAGAGAAGAGGCGAGAGAAAGAAAGACAAGCGAGAGGATGCGAGAGGAGCAAAGCAAAGAAAAGATTCGAAGAGAAATGAAAGAGAGTGGCCGTATTAAATTACGGGTTCTAGATGGGTGCGCCGCCCATAACAAGATTTACCTGATATGTACTAATCGAGTCCAATGTAATTGATACTGATACTAGAAGCCGAAGCCACAGTCCGTCTGCTAGGGAATTTCTACATTACATACCTAACAGTGAACAGGGTACAGTGCAGGGATCCACAATATTGTGATAGACTACAGAAGTTGACATAGTACGGCGTGTGACATATCATGTGACACTACATCATGGGACACTACGTCATGTGACACTACATCATGTGACACTACATCATGTGACAGACACTACAGTGGGTGACTTAGTACAGCAGGTGACATATCTCCTGTAGACAGTTGAGAGTTCGAGCGGATCTGATAACAGCACATATCAGCTTAACCTGAATAACAGCATATATATCAAGAGTACATAATAGAGATGATGTGCTCTTGATATATATATATATATGTCACATAACGTGGTCTGTCATTCTAGCCTGATGTTAGTTAGCCAGGGTCATATCTGCTTAGTAGAGTTTAATAGGTGATGGATGGTTTGCTGACGGTTTGTGTGTATGTGCGCATTCAGCCAGCATATATAAACCCTACCAGCCGTACCCATAGACCTACCCAGCCATACCACCCAGCCTAACCCTATCGACAGACGCAGTATACCTTCATTTAGCTCCAAAAAATTGTCATGTATCGAATGATGTGTGTTGTCATTTTGATGTAAATACGTTTGTTGTGGTGTTTACGTTTGTCTGGTTTCTTGGTTGGCCTAACCCTCACCTGTTTGTGTTTACACTTGAAATAGATGAAATTCTAAAAGTTGTCTCCCGGGGCTTAATCGTCGAATGTGAATAAAATTAACTAACCTAATACATATATTGCACTTATAACGGTGAAAGTATAATATTACTGTATTATCATTTCTCGTGCGTTAGTTTATGAAGAGGTATAAATACAGGTTAGTGGCAAGTATTGCATTAGTGACATATACAGGGACGTATACAGGGACGTATAGGACACATGAAGGGGTGTATAGGGACCATGTCGTCAGATGTGGTCGTGTTTAGCGATAGATTGATGCCGCTTACGGCTTGCGGTGTAGAGTGTGGTGGGTGGTAGCCTTGTAGAATCTGACACGGTGTCGCTAAGTGCATACTGATTTATGGTTGGAAAATGTCCAATCCAGTCTAAGCTGCGTGTGCGTGTGTGTTGGTCGTGTCTGTGTTTGTACGCGGTGGGAACCGTCAGGTGGTGTGTGTGCTAGCTTTCCCATGTTAGCCCGTAGGGAGTGGCATGGGGATCTGGGTGTGTGGTGAGAGTGGGGTCTGCCTGTGTGTGTGTGTGTGTGTGTGTGTGTGTGCGTGCGTGCGTGCGTGCGTGCGTGCGTGCGTGCGTGCG